TTTGCTCGTTCAAGTCTCCTTTTCTGCCCGGTCAAGAAGTTGGGAAAAAAGTGAAACTAATCCGTGTGTGATTTTCTGTTAGTGAACATGATTGTATTTTTACAAAGAGACAAATCTTTAAGATATACAGGTGAGGAATTGGCTGTTTGTTCTAGAATAAGAGTCTGTGTGACCGATCAACATGACCGGCGAGTGGAGCTTGTGGCCGGTCAAGACGCCATTCTGGCCGGACAGTGTCCGTTGACCGGCCGTTATTCACCCTGTACTACGACGTAGAATTAAGGTAATCGCGTAAATACGTGATAAGATATGATGCAATTTCTTTGCACAATAATGTCTCTGTAACTGGTGACAAACATGCAGTTCTAGCTGAGTCACAATCTCTCTGTGTTTTTCTCTTCTTTTTTCTCTCCTCAGTTGGCATCTGTATCAGGTCTTACAGTCTCTCGAGTACACGCATCTCTCCGAGTACCACTCGGGCATGTTACACAGTGGTTTTGCCTCTCAGTTGGAGGGAATGGGTTTGTGGCACTGGGCTGCTTTCGTGTTGTTACATATACAAGACTTACACAAGTACGTTTAGTTCTCTCAAGACTTGTTTCTCAGTAGCATTTTCTGCAAATAACTCTCATTCTCCAAGAAACAAACTTTGAGATGTGAAATGGCTTTTTAATGTCACAAAATTATGAACTCATTGAACTCGAACCCTTGGCGCCTGCTAATGGTGTTAGTGGTTATTGGATTTGGTTATCCTGTGCATGTATTTCTTACGGTGCTTTGTAAGGGTAATGTCGTAAAGTCATCTGTCGTAATGGAGGATAACGAGTTTATTTTTTTCATCTAATATTGCCAGGCGAGAGAACGCTGTCCGTAGTCTTCTGTGTCGCCACTGCTGCTTGTCAGCGGATCACCAAAATGTCGAGAAAGAGCGCTTTATGTTAGATGACTTAAAAATCCCTGCTGAATGGATACACGAGGCTAAGGTGACGTGAAACTCTTTGTATTTAATGTTTGTTTTGCCAAGAGACATTTGTATTTATTTTTCGAGGTATTTGATATTACCAATAACCCTACAATTTATAATATTGGACAGCATGAAAACTTGACCTAACATACTGTCACCATCCAGTCTGACTGTTTAAAACTTAAGTAAACGAAGCGAACAAAATGGCCTCACATAACAACAAAACTTGGCAAACAGGGTTATAGCCAAGAAGAAATCGGCCTCTTTTTTAAAATTCAATCGCGTTTTTGATAAATATTGTATGGTCTCCCTGTATATGGTACATGCGAAGCAGATTTAAATTCTGTCAACTGCTTCCCGAAAACACCTTCTAAGAGGCGCTACTCCACGAAGCTTTATGTTATCTACGATGTGATGTGTGATATGAAACTTTTTAAGGGAATTAGCTAGTGGCCTTTTTCTACCCTTTGTACCCTAACTTCGGTGGGCCATTAGGTGGCGAGAGGTGTCGAAGCTGAAAGGAGACTTATTCCTATTACTTTCAGGCTTTGCGTTCCTGCTACGAGGGTCGCACCCGCGAGGAAGCTTTTCATCTGGTTAAGGCGCGTCATTGGAGTCTGGGGCATAACGTTGTATTGCGCAGCCTCGTCAGTGATGCGATCATCAACGGTAAGAATTTGAACAATTCCTTTAATTATAATGCCTGGACGATGTGTATTATAATTCAACGCTTTAACAAATTAATTCTTTCTTTTAGGGGAGTATGACATTTTGAAGACCTTGCTTGGAGAAATGGAACCGAGAGATCGTAGCTCCACCGTGAGGGACTGGGCGACAGGAGGACAGGTTTGTCATAAGTCCATTGTCATCCCCGTAGCTGCAATCGTTGCTGATCAGCGCCATGAGTCGAGAGCTCTTGAAAATCTGTTGACGAGAATGTTCTTGCGTTAAGAGCGGTTTCCAGTTTAGTTCCGTAAACCCAGACTATCACAATCCAGTCCAATAAACAACAAAATGAGACATTCAGACACCGAAACATACAGCTCTCGTGGAGCGCGGAAAAACTAGTCTGAACAACGTGAAGACCTTGGCACAAGATTCTCAGCCAATCAGATGATGAGGATAGAAATAGCCAAGTTAATGGAGACCTTAAGATGTAACCTTTTCTACATGCTGGT